TACTACTACTACTACTACTACTACTACTACTACTACTACTACTACTACTACTACTACTACTACTACTACTACTACTACTACTACTACTACTACTACTACTACTACTGCTACTACTACTACTATCACTACTACTACTACTACTGCTGCTATTGTTGCTACTACTTCTATCACTAACAACAATAATTATTATGAAAATGGAGTAGAATAATATTATTTCCAAGAGGTTGTATGTCATCTAATTAATTTTAAAATATTGTTATTAAAATAACGAAGCAGGTAAGTTTTAAAGTTGGTTGTTGTTCAACGATCTTAATTTGAAAAAAAAATATTTCAAGTTACTTGGCTGATTAAAAAATTTGAAACGACTAAATAATTTTCTATTAATTATAATTTACGAATTAAAATTAATTTACTTATTAATAATTTTAGAAAACCGCTTTTATTTACCGATAATTTGAGATACGGAATATGAAAAATTATTTTGACCCCAAAATGAAGCACTGGTATTTGAGCAGACACAAACGAAGGAGTGATAAAAAACCTAAAAAAAACAATACACAATATACACATCGCAACCAAAACACACAAAACACAATTGTATTCATACAAACAATTTGCAAGGTACATGCTACTAAATCACATACACACGCATACAAAGACTTATTTCTACACATACACACAAACACACAGACACAAACACACACACGCAAACACACACACACACATATATATATATACACGCACACCCTAATAAAGAAAGTATCACGCACACACACAGCTGTACACAATGTTTGTACGGTTCGTTGGACTTCCGGCTGTTTCTTTCTCTTCTACCACCTCTATTGCTGCGTATGTTGGATAAGCCTTCTTAAAAGCAAATCATTGCAATGAATCAGTTATGACAGCTTCAATGTGTCTTACTCCCACAGTGGCTACACATCATTCTCACTCTCTCCCATTATCTTTCTCTCTCTCTTTCTCACTTTCTCTTTCTTTTTCTCTTTCTCTCTCTCTCTCTCTCTCTCTCTCTCTCTCTCTTTTTCCTCGCATTGTTTTCTGATCAGTTGTTTTTTTGTATGAAAACATTTATTAGGCGACGTATTCCGAGATGATGTTTTTTAAACAAGCTGCCTCCATATGGAAGATCTGAGTTGATTTCGTGTATTGAGCCTTAGTGAATCGAACGATAAAATAAAATATAAAAAAAATTAAAATTAAAATAAATGATAATTAAAAAAATAAAATAAGATAGAAAAAAATGATAAAATTTATGGTCGCTTTCAAGCAGGTTACACTAAATGGAATTCTGTAACTTGCTGAAATATTCACTGCAAGCAAGCAAGTCAGGAACAAACGAATCATATTGAGAAATGGAAATATTAAAAAGTGAATATATTAGCGGACGATGATCAAATTAAACAAAACATATACATTACACACAAACACTAACTCACATACCAAACATACATACGCACACACACCCACATCAAACACCGACGACACACATACCAACATGCACACACATACAAACAAATGAACTCAAACACACATACAAATAAACACACACATACACACACCAAGATGCCTAAACGTACATACACATACAAACAAATGAACAAACACATATACAAACATAGACACACACACACACACACATACAAACAAATGAACACACACATATACAAACATAGACACACACACACAAACAAACACACACACATAATCACATAAATAAAAGAAAGCAAGATGTGCGTGTATGTTGATCATTTCTCTATGTTTAATTACTTCATTATTCACGAATGTTAACCGTTCGATGGAGGGTCAGCATTGATTAACTGATGGCCTATCAGTGAGAATGAATGAATGAATGAATGGATGGATGGATGGATGAATGATTGAATGAATGAATGAATGAATGAATGAATGAATGAATGAATGAATGAATGAATGAATGAATGAATGAATGAATGAATGAATGAACGAAAGAACGAATGAATGACTAGATGAAAAAATGGATGAAGTACATGATCATTGATATTGGTGGTGCTTGTGCTTGGTGGATCGATGTTATTAATATGATAGTGGGTAGCTTTGTGTTGTTTGTGCTGTTGTTTGTGTTGTTTTTGTTGTTGTTTGTGTTGTTGTTTGTGTTGTTTTTGCAGTTGCGTTGATGTTTGTTGATTGCATCGTTCCTTCGTTTGTTGAAGCGCATCGACTTCCATTGATTTCGTTGAAGATATCTCATCACTACATGCCCTTTATAAGTTTTTTACAACGTTAATGTTTATTTCTGTGTCTCTTACAATTGTTGTGTTGCTTTTTATTAATCCTAACACAGATCCTATCCAATCCTATCCAACCCTATCCATCCTATCCAATCTTATCCTATCAAATCTTATCCTATCCAATCTTATCCTATCCAATCCTATCTAATCCTATCCAATCCTATCCAATCCCATCCAATCCCATCCAATCCTATCCAATTCAATCCAATCCTATCCAATCCTATCCTGTCTTCTTTCACACGCGAGCAAACACTTTTAAACACGCATTTAACTTTTGCAGTTCACGGTTATATCACTTTGATTTAATAGGTTTGCTCTGTTTGATTCGTTTTAATATCAATTGAAAAATTATTTTTTGAAGAATATGGAAAAAGTAAAGACGGGAAGTTATTTTTTTTCAAACGATTCTATCCGGTGTATTAAGCAAATTTTCAAACGCTTCAAAGGCGTCGCATGATGTTGTTGTGAATTTATTTTTTGAAAAATATGACCAAAAATAAAAACAAAAAACAACTTTTTAGCAGTTATCCAATCTTATAAATAAAAAACTTTCAAAAGTTTCAAAGTTGTCGAATGATGCACACTGTTCATCCAAGTTCCTTCATTGAAAATTCAACAGGGACCCGTGCTTATCTTCCATGTTTCCTTCACATGTCACTTCAATGTAGAGCGACTCATTTGTATGTAACGTAGCTAATTTGTTTGTTTGCTTGTATGTATGTATGTTCGTTTGTATGTATGTATATATGTATGTATGTAATTATGTATGTATGTATGTATGTATGTATGTATGTATGTATGTATGTATGTATGTATATATGTATGTATGAATGTATGAACCCGTTTTGATGAATTTAGATGAATTCCATGTATGTTTGTATGAATGTATGTATGTATGAATATATGTATATATATATTTATATATGTGTGTATGTATGTGTGTATGTATGTATGTATGTATGTATGTATGTATGTATGTATGTATGTATGTATGTATGTATGTATGTATGTATGTATGTATGTATGTATGTATGTTAAAACCAAAACATGATGAGTGACACTGAACCGTCAAACATCAAGTAACAAATGGATTAACACTTTGATTTGTCGTTAATTGCACATGTCGGCATTCAGTTGGATATTTTCAAGCACACAGACACGCAGGAACCGCTGCAACAAGCACGAAATGTGGTTGGTTGCAAAAAACAGTTCCCTGCTGTCACCTGATCTGACACTGACCATTTTGCCTATTTCCTTAAGAAATTTAAGGGTGTTGGGGTCCATCGGGCCAAGAACCTCGATGCATATTGGCAAGAATTCCATGTATGTATGTATGTATGTATGTATGTATGTATGTATGTATGTATGTATGTATGTATGTATGTATGTATGTATGTATGTATGTATGTATGTATGTATGTATGTATGTATGTATGTATGTATGTATGTATGTATGTATGTATGTATGTATGTATGTATGTATGTATGTATGTATGTATGTATGTATGTATGTATGTATGTATGTATAATGCAGGTTAACATTAAAAGTGTAAGTCTCATTTTTTCTTATTTGATTTTAAAAGATTTCATGTTCGAATTTTACGTATCGCATAATTGTTTGTGTTAATTTTCCCTTTTTCCACTTTGCATTTAAAAGTTTTTTATTTAAAACCTATTTAAAAGTTTGCTTTTAAAACTGAATGCAATTTAGAATTATTAATGACTAATGTTCCAGTCGAATGCGTCCTCCTTCGAATGCTATTCAAATGAATGTCTTGTCGCGTGAACAGTCAGCTGTGACCAAAATACATCACGTGACGTTCTCAATATTATTTATAAAAATGAATAGATAAATTCAATACAAATTAGCATTTGTTTTACTGGTCGCAAAGTTTAGAACGTGACCGAAAGAATGAAATAAATAAAAAAAATGAAAGAACAAACCAATGAATGATTAAATGAATGAACAAACGAACGAACGAATAAACATATGGATGAACAAAAAGATGAACAAATAACCTGCGTGAACGAACAATAGTAGAAACAATAGACCGTACGAACGTAATTTTGAAAACAAACACGAGCCAGCAGGCAGCTATTAAAATATTAAAGAGACGATGGTGATCATATAGAATATCTTATGCATGCAATTCTCTTGCAATCTGCAGTAGTTGTTTCTGTTGTTGCTAGTTGTGTTGTTGCTGGTTGTGTTGTTGTTGTTGCTGTTTGTGTTGTTGTTGTTTGTTTTGTTGTTTGTTTTGTTGTTTGTGTTGTTGTGTTGATGTTGTAACCTGTGTGTTTTTTACAATTTTCTTTCTGGTGGTTCTTGATGATATCAAGAAGAAGACCATGCATAATGCATGCATATTTTATTTGATAAGCGGAGATTTTCTTTGCGTTTGAAACCTGGCACCGCGACATCAGTGCCAGGCTTCTTAATCATTGCACTATTGTGCCGACCGTTTATTTCGTCACATTAATTGTTGTTTGTGTTCGTTGCTTTTGTTTCAGATGCTGAAAAACTACATCAATTTCTATTACATTCTAGTAATTATACAATTTTCTGCTCAAACTTCAAACATGTGTGTAAATAGCCCAATATCTTTCATAAAAAATAAAAGTAAACTCACTTATTGTAAGGAATAATGTAATTAATGATGACGTAATATTTCTGTTATTATTATTGTTATTATTAACAACTTACCAGAGTAAAAAATGAATAAAAATCTTATTTTGATTTACATCTTTCAAATCTTGGTAATAAAGTCCCAAAACAGCACCAACAACAGCATCAACATTTTCAACATTGCCATCAACATTATCAACAACAACATCAACATCACCATCAACATTATCAACAACAACATCAACATCACCATCAACATTATCAACAACAACATCAACATCACCATCAACATTATCAACAACAACATCAACATCACCATCAACATTATCAACAACAACATCAACATCACCATCAACATTATCAACAACATCATCAACAACAACATCAACATCATCAACAACAACATCAACATCATCAACAACAACATCAACATCAACATCAACATCATCAACATCTTCAACATCAACATCATCAACATCTTCAACATCTTCAACATCATCAACATCTTCAACATCAACATCATCAACATCACCATCAACATCATCAACATCTTCAACATCAACATCATCAACAACATCATCAACATCTTCAACATCAACATCATCAACAACAACATCAACATCATCATCAACCTCATCAACAACCAAACAATTCAAAAAGAATAATAAAAACATATGACCGTTACATCCGGAATCTTGTATTTAATGCAAACCTTTTTTTGAAGACGAGGAAGAAGAGATGAAGGAAAAGAACAAATAGGCGCATAGAATATTAAGTACTCTGATCACATTAGCCACAAACTTCCACGCGAACTCTTTCGTAAATAATTTCTCCTTCCAAAAAGCTATCTCTTAGTAGATTAATACTGCACTGTGTTACAACTCAGTACTTACTATTACGCGTAATTCAAATAGATTTCTAGTCTGCAATTGAGGTTTCTGGTTTTACAATTTTCATACACTTTCCTTTCCATGACACCGTTCGTTGTAGATTGTTACCAGTTTCCGATTGGGAGATTGTTGAGGGTGAGGATGAAAAATGAGGAATTTAATGTTCTCATATTTGTGAAATTTACAAATTAAAAACTAGAGAACGTCTTTATCAAAAATATTCATTTGGAACCTTCAATTTGTGATAGATTTTGTGTTTTCTAAATTAACTTTTGCGCTTATAAAAACTAATATACACAAAAACAAAGCAAACAAATATACACAAATGTAAACATAGTCACACACACACGCAAACATAAAAACGTGCAAACTCACAAATATACAAACGCCCACACACGCATAAACATACAAATCCACACACTCACACAAAATGAAACAAGATTTATTTTGCAGCAAAAAACAGAAAATGTTACAAGAATGACCAAAGCATGTACGAACGAACTCAACCCAGCATAAATACTCTTCACATGATAACTTGCCACTTAACGCACGCATACATGCCTGCTACAAATAAAATTAACGTAGAAATAAAAAAAGGGGTGATGAGAAAATGTTCAATAGAAAAAAAAAATGTTGTCAGATGAAATCTGCAGAGGAACTTCTATTATTTAAGCAGGTCAGCGCTATGATCTACTGGCTATCGGCTGGCTATGCAAGCGAAAAATGACTCTTTTGTAGTATGAGAATTAAAATAAAACTGAAAAACTAGCAATAAATTTTCTTCCACAATTAACTCCCATTAAGCAAAACTAAACTGGCAATAACTAAAAAGCGTGCGATGCCATAAAACTGACAATCATCTTATTCAAGTCAAACATAGAGACACATTCACACGAACATACAAATCCACACATACTCGCACGCACACACAAACACATGCACACAAACAAATACACACATATTTGTTTTACACATAGACATATACATACATATGTGACATAAATTGTTATTTTTAAAAACTTTTCAATTTTCCAGTTTTACAAATTATTACGAATCTTTTTTATTTTTTTAATTCGCCTAATAATGTTTGCTTTATTGTTTGCCGCCAGTCAAATGTCACATCTGCATTTCTGAACGCATATTCTTTATGGCAAAAATAAGCAGCTTCTGTTTTCATTTTGCGGCTCTGAAAATATTTTCTGCTTTTGTTGTTGGGAGTAACTTAAATATAGAATGATATAAAATGTGGATGAGTATTTTGACAAAAGAAAAAATATAAACTTGAATATTGAGTTGAGACACATGGATAGGGATATGTTCCTCGGCTTCCAATAGAATTTTTTTTTAGATAAATGATGAATAATTACTAATTATAATTAAGTAATTTTAATCCAGAGATATTGAAAATAGTATAATAGTATGTGAAATTATTGATGGATTGGAATGAAAAAGTCCAAATAAACAATTGAATTAGTGAAATTTTATTAATTATAAAATAAACTAAATAATCGTTGTTGTGCCGGGTTAAAACAGCATGTTAGCTACCATAGATGGAGTTTTAATGTGCGTGAGTTCATTAAAAACAATCTTTAATGTTACTGATATTGTTGATACCATGCATACGCATGTCTTCAAATGCTATAACAATATTCTACTTCTTTAGTGGTGATCATAACATATGCAAAACTTGCCATGTTTGTCGGGAATATCTTCTAAAATAGAGCGTTAAAATTAAAAATAGTTTAATAAAATTTATGAAATATGAAAGCAATGGACGAAAATATAAACTTTTATTAAGACATGATGGTCATACTCGATGAATTCTCAAACGACTGACTTTTAATTATGATCAAAAATATTTTAAAAGTTTTTTTTTTCAATTACAAAGCATGAGAGATGTTGATTTTTGACACAATAGAGTCAAAATATGATGATGATGATAATGATAATAATAATAATAATAATAATAATAATAATAATAATAATAAATGATAATATAGTTTTCGTCCGCAGGTTAATAATCACGCAACTCTCCTTCTTACCAAATTAACAATTCGTGTAGTTGGTACAATATTTCGCGCATTTCAATAAGATTACAGAAATTAAAATATAACACAAAAACTATAACTGAATTTTAGCAATAAAATTAACTAAATGAAGTTATTAAAAATTAAATAAAATTGGGTTATAAACTTTTTATAAAATTGTTAGAAAAGTTTTAAACTAATGAACTGTTTTTTTTTACATCGTATTGTAGTTCAAAAATTATATTAAGTTATATGTAGTTAGTAGGATAGATCCATTGTCCACAGTTTCATTTTAGATTTTCATCATTGTTTGTTATATAATTGATCGTAATATATAAATTAAATCAGTTCATGGAAAATTGTTTGAAGTAATAATTATTTAAAAAGATGAAACTACGGGTATAAGCAAATAATAGGTCATCAGCCATCAACTTAAGAACATTAAAATCTTCTCCACCATGAAATTCTAGGAGAGAAGTCGGAATCGAAAGTCTTTCATCGAAAAAAAATTATTCACAAATACTTTTTTTGAGACAAATCAGAAATAAACATATCAAAAATAAGAATTAAAACATATTAAACGAATTTAAACATTTTAAATATATTTTGGCTTAAATTAAACATCTTTTTTAGAATTAAACCTAAAAAAACAACAAAAGGCATTTAGCACATTTTGAAAGAGAGAAGAAAGAAGGCAAGCGATGCGGGCCTCAATAGATTCTCATCTTGAACGTGCTTTCAAAGATTTAGCATTGATCTTGTAATGTGGAGAAGTCGACTTTATGGATGGACATTATGTCTATTTATGCGGCTCTCTCTTGGGTATTGGTCTTCGTGTGTTACGTTTCTACGTATGTGTGTGTGTGTGGTGTGTTTGTATGTGTGTGAATGTGTGTGTGTGTCATCGTAAATGCACTTAAACATACATATGCATGCCTTCAAAAGAGTGTGTGCTTGTCATATCTTAACGAAAATACAAAAGTCAAATATCTTTTCTTTTTATTTGCACAAGAAATTTTTAGATAAATGTTTGTTAGTTTGTATTTAAACTTTTTTCTCTTTCGTTCATATTCAGAATATTTTATTTCGTGCACAATATATTGCGGTCACGTCTTCCTTACTGCAAGAACGCTTTTCAAACTTTGAAGACATTAACTAATATGAATCTACAACAACGAATGCTGATGTGCACGTGTTGTTTTACCGCCCCAACTGACTTGCGAGCAGTCAGAGCTGCAGACGTCTGCAGAAGAATGTTGCACGCTCTTACAAGCTGCCTCCTCTACTGGCCGCCAATAAATTTGAATTAGCGGCGCAATAATGTTTTGAGCTGGATTATTTCACTTTCTTTATGACTCATAAAATTATTTAATTAAAAAGTTTCAGGTGTATAGCAAGACATTAAATTATTATAATTATTATATTACATGCGTCAACGATTCCTCGTGGACCAGCGACTCACACTAACGAAAGAGTTCATTGGCGCAAAAAATCAATATTATTGCTTCATAAATCTTCAAGTTTTTAAAAATTAATGCTGATCTAAATCTCAGTAACAAAATACTTTCCACCGACTTAATTCATTCAACAAAGCACATTTATGAGACAGACTACTTTTTTAGCGCACGTACAACTCTGCATGGCAAAATTGCATTAATGGAGCGAATGAAATTTCTACAAGGCAAACACAAATGAATGGGGAGACGGATTTGTGTGCATGTTTGAATAATTTATTTTGTTTGCATTATTATGTGATTGTATTCATTTGTACATGGAACGCACTGATGTATGAAGGCATTAGGTGGAAGCCTTCCCTATGCTTAAGCCAAACAATTAATGCCGAGTTTTATTGCTTAATGGTAGTGTCAGTCAGATTCAATATGCGGTTTTGTGTGTGTATGTGTTTGCCTATGTTTGCTTGTCCATGTTTGTATTTGTGGTTGTTCATTTTAATTCTGTTCGTTAGTCAGTTAGTTAGTTAGTTTGTTTGTTTGTTTCCAAATGTTTTATAAATAACAATGCATTTATAAAAATGTGATTTTCAACTGCTTGTAAAAAAATAATTTAATTTGAAAAATATTGAAAAAACATAACACCGCACAAACATCTACACAACAACCAACCATCTACACAACAACCAACCATTTACACGACCAACCACACCACAACCAGCTACACAACAACCAACCACCGCACAATCAGCCACCAGGAACCTTCTATTAAGATATCAAAACATTGCAACCGATCAATCAACAACAATAACTCACAAAGAAGTTGGACAAATGATTACAACGCTAGCGAAAAAATTGTATGCAGGCGATTGCAAACAAAGTGAAAAAAATCTTAGAGGAGTAATTACTGATAAATGCTCGTGAACAAAACGCAAAAATACATGCACATCCAAACACACAAACATGCATACATAAATATTTATAATATAAATATAAGTAAACACACCACACACACACACACACAAAAAACACACACACACACACTAACAAACACACTAACACGCACCCCATCCATAAATAGATATAAATATAAACACATGTAAAGCAGAGTGACATAAATACAACACATAAGCAAAAGCCTAAAGAAATGTATTTTATTGATCATGTTTCCCGCCATTCTTCGTACCCCTATCATGTTCTATTGTGATGTCTCAGCGACCGCCAACGCTGATAGTTTATGGCACATGTGTTCTGTACCACATATAATCTATATGATCATGTGCTGTCACATATTGTG